ATTTCTTGCTCCACGGCTCTGAAGCTCACAAGCTGCCACGTGCTCAGAAGACATCCACGTCTGCAATCTTACCAGAATGATTGGTTAGGGTGTTTAGTTTATCGCATGCCTGGAAAGTGTGTAGGATTTGTGAGGCCACACCTCGAGTCCTGTGTCCAGTTCATTCACCCTCAATTCAAGAAGGACATTGAGGGGCTGGAGTGTGTCCAGAGAAGGGCAAAGGAGCTAGGGAAGGGTCTGGAGAGTCAGTCACATGAGGAATGGCTGAGGGAGCTGGGAGGGCTTAGCCTGGAGAAAAGGAGGCTCAGATGGGACCTTATTGCTCTCTGCCACTCCCTGGAAGGAGGTTGTAGCAATGTGGGGGTCAGGCTCTTCTCCCAGGCAACCAGTGACAGGACATGAGGACAGAGCCTCCAGCTGTGCAGGGGAAGGTTCAAGTTGGGCATCAGGAAGAATTTCTTCACTGCAAGAGTGGTCAGGCCTTGGCAGGGGCTGCCCAGGGAGGTGGTGGAGTCCCCATCCCTGGAGGTGTCCAAGGAAGGACTGGACGTGGCACTCAGTGCTCTGGGCAGGGTGACAAGGTGGGGATCGGGCACAGGTTGGACTCGATGGTCTTGGAGGTCTTCTCCAACCTTAATGACTTTGTGATTTCAACACTCAGCAGTGATACCCCTCAGAAGCCCAGCAGTCCCTGTGCTTTACTGCTAAAAGCAGCCAAACACCCTTGTCATTCCTTTGCTGGCAGCAGCCAACAGACGAGCAAGGAGGGTGTAGTGACCCACAGCTGCTGCCCATGGGCAGAGGAGAAGGTGGCTCTGGCTGTGCCAAAGTACCTGAGATGAGAGACCAGAAGAGACACCTGGTCCTGCTGGGATGGGATGGCAGACCTTCATGGTCAGCCCCCGTGAGCCACAGTGACCACCATGAGCAAGGTTCAGGACAGTGTCTGGGAAATGGGTCACAGATGGGAGATCAGGCACTGGGTAAGAACTAAGCTCATAAAAAATGGTGAGGAAGAGGAAGCTTCTGCTCCTCCAGGTAATGGTTTTCTGAGGGGAATCCTGTATGTTGGCAAGACAAGCTGAAATCCAGCCCTTTGTTGGTGCTTTCCCTTCACCCTGGGGCTCCCTGCCCAGTTCAGAGGAGGAGCATGTGTGTGGCCATCCTGCCCATGGCTCAGGCAGCCTCAGCTTTAACCACACTGTGCAGAGGCGAAGGCTGAGGCACCATGTGGCACTCTTAGGTCCGCCCTTAGGCTGCTCAAAGCTGAGAGTGCCAAAATTGAGGTCTTTTTGTCTTTTTGTGTGATATCTCAAGGTATCACAAGCCCTGACTGGATTTTTCTTTTAAAGTTTGTATGTTGAGCAATCTTAAAATGCAGAAGGGGAAGTGATTGCCATCCAGAGAGACCAGCCAGCAGATACATCGACAGGACACCCATTCAAGAGCCTTTCCTGCAGATGAGTCACCCATGGAGACAACCCAGGCAGCCAAAATGACATCACAGGTGCTTACTGGTCTCTGTCACTGGGACAGAAGGATTTAAACAAGTGACTTTCTGTGGAATTTTATGTCTTGCATCTCTTTGTTTTCCACATGAAGCACAAGAGATGCTTCTACTTCTTCTTGTCTATACCTGCACCTTTTTTTCTTTACCCTCAGATTTCATACAGAGATCTTTTAGACTTCATGATTATGCAAGATTAAGCTTCCAGCCTTTTAATGGAAGTAACAACAGGGGCAGCTTCAGACAGCAAATCCACTTGCCGAGAGAAAAGTACTTAAGGGATGTGTTCTCTGGAGC